CACGCCCTGCGGCGGAGTCTCTTCGTTGTAGCGTGTTGCCTCAGCAACGGCAGGCTGCGTCAGCAGTGGGCGTGTATCTCAGTAGGGACGGGTTGCCTCGGCAACCGCTGGCTGCATCAGCAGTGGGCGTGTATCTCAGTTGGGGCGGGTTGCCTCGGCAACGGCTGGCTGCGTCAGCAGTGGGCGTGTATCTCAGTTGGGGCGTGTTGCCTCGGCAACGGCTGGCTGCGTCAGCAGTGGGCGTGTATCTCAGTTGGGGCGTGTTGCCTCGGCAACGGCTGGCTGCGTCAGCAGTGGGCGTGTATCTCGGTTGGGGCGGGTTGCTTTGGTAGTGGTGGACGTCCCTACCCCACAGAGCGTCTCGGGCTGTCTGCTAGGGATAGTTTGAAATCGCGGTTTTGTTCGTCCCACTGGGTATCCCAATCCCTGCAATCCCCTGGGCTGGGCTTCTGTCCAAGTCTCGTTCAGTCTCAAGTCCAGCCCTCTCAAGTCTCAGGTTGCCGGTTCAACAAGGCGCCCGGACAAGCGCGCCCTGTGGGGATTGCTGGGTAGGGCCGACCGCCACCGCCCCAGCCCCAGCTGCCGGCTTTGCCAGGCAGACTTACTGCCTGGCGTCCCGTGTCTTTTTTATACTTGGGAGTTTCCCCGTTCTGTGGGCAACAAAGATCAGTCTGGAAATGCAGCTCAGACTCACCGTTTGCGGATTCAACGCAAGTGCCAATCCTGGGTTGTTCTCACAGCGCCATCTTGAGTCCTCCTCTTTCAAAGTTATTTCTTTAAATGAAAAAGACTTTCTATTTCTTTCACTTTTTGACTGAGTATTGCTTAAAATGAGTGCTGCCTAAACTAACCAACGAAGGCATTATGCCTTAAGAAAAATCACAAGGAAAATTACTGTAAGCAACAGTAGTCCCTGTTGGACCAGGTTCCAAAGGAAAGGGTGGAGAGATTCAACCAGTTGGCATAAAAAATGAAGATAAAGTTCTCTTAAAAAATGGAGGCACCAAAGTATTTCTAGGTGACAAGGATTATCTCCTATTTAGAGAGGTGACCTTCTTAGAAAGTAGGTAGACTGAAATAAATCACTATTGAAATGGTGCGGTCCACTCTACTGAAGTTCTGAAATCTTTCATCATCTAAATAATTTTCATATCTCTTTTATAATAAACGAATGACAACTAATGACCAAAAGAAAAGAAAAAAAGTCTGCCTGAGAAATAACTTTTGTTTATTTGTTTGTTTGTTTTTAAGATGGAGTCTTGCTCTGTTATACAGGCTGGAGTGTAGTGGCACAATCTTGGCTCAATACAACCTACACTTCTAGAGTTCAAGTAGTTCTCCTGCCTCAGCCTCCTGAGTAGCTGGATTTCCAGGTATCCACCACCATACCTAGCTAATTTCTTTTTGTAGTTTTAGTAGAGACAGTGTTTCACTATCTTGGCCAGACTGATTTTGAACTCCTGACCTCGTGATTTACCCACCTTTTTCTCCCAAAATTCTGGGATTACAGGCACGAGCCACCACACCTTACCTTTTCTATCTTTATTTGTTTTTTCTTTTTTTTTAAGATGAAGTTTTGCTTTTGCCTTCCAGGCTGGAGTGCAATGGCCATCTCAGCTCACTACAGCCTCTACCTCCCAGGTTCAAGCAATTCTTCTGCCTCAGCCTCCCAAGTAGGTGGGAATGCAGGCACCTGAGACCACACCTGGCTAATTTTTGTATTTTTTTCTTTTTTCTGTCCCCAGCCCCCTAATTTTTGCATTTTTAATAGAAACGGGGTTTCACCATTTTGGCCAGGCAGGTCTCAATCTCCTGACTTCTTGGGATCCACCTGCCTTGGCCTCTCAATGTGCTATAATTACAGGTGTGAGCCACCGTGCCTGATGAGAAACAACTTTTTATCAGTTTTCTCTGTTGTCTTTTTCTCTGGTTTTGTAAATCCAGTTTTTGTATTTGTTTTTTAAGAGAGGGTCTTGTTTTGTCACCCAGGGACATGAGGTGAAGGCATCTCTCTTTCAATTGTACTTTACTTGGTGTAACACCCAAAGATGGAGAGTGAGGTTAATTCCACCTAGAATCTTTATATAAGTTTTAGCCTCTGCCTGGGATTTACAAGACAAGGTAGACTTTGGATAGAAAATGTACATAAAACTAAGAGGAGGCATTTTCTGAATTGCAAGATGTCAACACAGACATCTTAAAATCCCCCCTTTTAGAGTGTGGCTCTTTGAGCTTTTCAGGTCTTGCTCAGTGACCAGGGTTGTGAGAGGCTTTGAGGGTAAAGAGAATCTTATGGTAGAATCTGTAATTGTAAAGAACCATCTTAGGAGTGAAAGATCAAGACTATGAAGTATCCAGAGCAATAACCACAACTATACCTATGCACAAAAATGTGATGCTGGAGTAGCGTATTCTTGTCCTTCCTGTTACCCAAGAGCTAGTTGATCATGACAGGTAATCCTGGTTGTGGAGGTCCACCAGGGCAGGTCCATTTTTTTTTTAAGCATCAGCCTGAATTTTCTGGCTGCACCAGGTGGGTGCATCACCTGAGAGCAGGAATGTAAGAACCTGGCCAACATGATAAAACCCCATCTGTTCTAAAAATATAAAAATATCCCACCTTAGTGGCATGTACCTGTAGTCCCCACTACTTAGAATGCTGAGGCAGAAAAATCTCTTGAACCTGCAAGGCAGAGGTTGCAATGAGCCAATATTGCATCATTGCACTGTAGCTTGGACAGCAGGGCAAAACCCCATATCAAAAAAAAAAAAAAAAAAAAAAAAGAAGAAGAAGAAAGAGCCTGACTGTCTTTTGTCTAACTTATCATTGGGCCACCAGCACAGGGTCCCTGGGAACTTTATCACAATCATCGAGGCATCTGTGAGTTATTTGAGAATGTCCAGAGCAGAATTTTATTAGGCTGACAAGAGTGGTTAATTCTACTTCTGTCTCAGTCTAAGAGAAATGACTCATTCTGTGTCTGTTCTTCATCTCATACAAGAGATGTTTTTGGTTGGTGCTCAAATGAGTTTCTCCAGTTTCCTTGTACTTGAGTGAAAAGCAATGAGGAGATCTGAAGACTCAGACACATAAACCAATTGCTTATATTTCATACAGTCATTAGAAAAATAGATAAAGCAGACATGGTCCCTACAATCCAGAAACTTTTAGTCTTAGTAGCAACTGGATAAAAGATTGAATTACTACATTATGTTGTGAGTACAATAAATAGATGTGTGCAAAATGGTTAAGCTTTTTTTGAACCACTTTCTTTTAACTTTTATATTTTTTGAGAGAGAGTTTTTTTCTTGTGGCCCAGGCTGGAGTGCAATGGCACAATCTTGACTTACTGTGACCTCTGCCCCCTCATCCTGCAAGTTCAAGTGATTCTCCAGTCCCAGCCTCCTGAGTAGCTGGAATTGGAGGCATGTGCACCCATCCCTGGCTAATTTTTGTATTGTTGTGTTAGTAGAGATGTGGTTTCTCCATGGTCAGGCTGATCTCAAACTCCCAACCTCAGGTAATCTGCCTGCCTTAGCCTCCCAAAGTTCTAGGATTACAGATGTGAGCCACAGCACCTGACCCTCACTTTCTTTATATTGTTGTGACTTGTGATGTTTTCAGCTGAAAAGATATTTATTAACAGAAGAGTTGTTACTATTTTCTGTTCTGTTCTGTTCTGTTCTCTTCTTTTCTCTTTTCTTTTCCTTTCTTTTCTTTGGTGTTTGGGTATGGAGTCTCGCCTTGTTTCCCAGGCTAGAGTGCAGTGGCTTGATCTCAGCTGACTGCAACCTTCGCTTTCTGAGTTCACGAGATTCTCCTGCATCAGCTTTCTCAGTGGCTGGGATTACAGGTATGGCCCAACACACGTGACTAATTTTTGTATTTTTAATAGAGACCAATTTTCTCCATGTTGGCCAGGCTGATGTGCAACACCCACCTTGACCTCCCAAAGTACTGGGATTACAAGCGTGAGCCACCACACTCAATCTATTATTTGTATTTCTTTAACTTAAGAATATGTATTTATCTTCTAATAAAATTATCCTATAAAACCTAAAGTGATTTGTTTTAATTGCTTGTTAATATATAATATGATATTGATGGAAAAGTGGTTAAAAAAGATTAAAATTATACAACCTCTAAAATTATGGATTCTCCTAAGTAAGCTTAGAGAAAACAGAACTGGAAATGTAGCCAGTGGCATAGAGAACCAAGTTGTACCATAGGGTCCACTCTCTGCCCCAACCGTTTTTAGATTGACCCTTTTTGGAGGCCTTATTTAGGTCTGGCCCTACCTTTGCTTCTCACCTCATAGTACTGAATAGAAGGGATCAGAGTTTTTTTTTTTTTTTTTATTTTTAGCATGGTTTGTTTATTGCATCATATACAGTCGTTTTGACCGAAACTACAACCAAACTACATTGACTACGATTTCCAGTTTTGATGTCTTCATGGAAGAAAACTTAATGACACTTGGGAAACTACCTAACTGCAGAATCTTTCTTGATCTTTTAGAATCCTTTCTCTTGCCTTGCCCTGCCCCAACTTTTACCATTTTTTGCTTCCATACCCAACTTAATATTTTTAGCAACTCACTTTTACTGAATGTCTCCAAAGCGTTAAAAGTGAGTTTTTAAAGAATTAATATTTTTTTTGCTTATATTTGGTAGATTTGTATAGTTAATAATAAAACAATATAATTATAATTAAAACTCATGAAAAGATTGGGGAACATTTTCAACTTCTTGATCAACTTCAATTACTGGGAGCAGAAGATCTTCAGTATATTTTACATACCAGAAAGGAGATATCATTAATATATTGTGAAGAGTGAATAAAAAGAGTTAATTTATTAATTTAGAGAGTGGTTAAGAGGAAGTCTTTTAAGACTGCTGTTACTATATCCTATTTATGATGGGAGATGTTTCTATTACTTTTATGAAAACTAGCCCTATCATTTTATGTTTTGTAAAGAATTATTATGTATAATTTTCAGAGCAGTGTGAAAAGAGGAGGCGAGAACGACCCCTGGACCAACCGAAGCCCACACACTGCTGCATCTGGCGCCCAGTGCCTAGGTCCCACCACCGTCGCCACCATGCCCAAGAGAAAGGCTGAAGGGGATGTTAAAGGAGATAAAGCCAAGGTGAAGGACGAACCACAGAGAAGATCTGCAAGGTTGTCTGCTAAACCTGCTCATCCAAAGCCAGAGCCCAAGCCTAAAAAGGTCCCTGTAAAGAAGGGAGAGAAGGTACCTAAAGGGAAAAAGGGAAAAGTTGATGCTGGCAAGGAAGGGAATAACCCTGCAGAAAATGGAGATGCCAAAACAGACCAGGCACAGAAAGCTGAAGGTGCTGGAGACGCCAAGTGAAGTGTGTGCATTTTTGATAACTGTACTTCTGGTGACTGTACCGTTTGAAATACCATTTTTTTTATCAAGTTTTATAAAAATGCAGAATTTTGTTTTACCTTTTTTTTTTTTTTAAGCTATGTTGTTAGCACACAGAACACTTCATTGTTGTTTTCGGGTAAGGGGCATATGTCACTGATAGAATGTCTCCAGAGCTGGATTGATGTGGGGAAATGACTTTCCCTTCTAGTTTTTAGAGACTTCCTCTTGGCTCCCAGAAGGAGGGATTCCCTGACTTTGACACACATGGCCACCTTGGCACACAAAAGCCTTGTGGTATGGAAAAAACAAATTCGCTTTTATGTCCTCTTCTCCCTTTCCATCATTCAGCATAGACTTAAATCCCTTAAGCCCGGACATCTGTTGGGACCTGACCCCCAGTTATTGGTTACAGTTAGTCAGGCAATCTGGACTTGCCAGTGATGCCACTGAGATGGCACCTGTCAAAAGAGCAGTGATTCCATTTCTAGATTGTGGATCTTCAAATAAATTCTGCCATTTTTATTTCACTTCCTGAAAGTCAGGGTTGGCTCGTGAAAAGTTGTTAAACAACATGCTAAATGTGAAATGTCAACCCTCACTCTAAACGTTCCCTGTTCAGAGCATCAGATAAAGACTTCATTGGGTTTTATAGGCTTCTGATTTTTGGTAGTCCATCAAAGAAGGGAGTTTGAAAGTTGTTGTATACTGCTAATGATTGTCTGCCAATATCCTGCCTGAAATGCCATGATTGTTTATGGAAAGTATCTTTAATAAAGCTGAATACATTTTGGGTTGGAAAAAAAAAAGAATTGTATATAATTTTCTTTCTTTTTTTATTTGACAAGACAAAAAGAAAAAAAGGAGAGGAAGAAAGGAAGAGGGAGAGAGAACGGGAGGCTAGAATGCAGTCTAAAAATGGGTATTAAAAACCTCTTTTATGCCAATAATTGTGCTTAATAATGGAGACAGAAAAAAAATGAGGGAAGAAAATAACACACAAGTAGCCAACCAATATTTTATTTAAACCTGTGAGTAGGTGTAATGTGGTACTGATAAGAGTGTATATTCTGTGTATTTAAAGTGGAGAGTTCTATAAATGTTGATTAAGTTTACTTGTTCTGGATCTGAGTTCAAGTTCTGGATATCCTTATTAATTTTCTGTCTCATTGATCTATCTAATATTGATGTTGAAGTCTCCCACTATTATTGTGTGGGAGTCTGAGTCTCTTTATAAGTCTTAATGTATCTGGGTGTTCCTATATTGGGTGCGTATATATTTAGGATCATTAGCTCTTCTTGTTGCATTGATCCTTTACCATTATGTAATGACCTTCTTTGCCTCTTTTGATCGTTGTTGCTTTAAAATGTATTTTATCACAGGTGAGAATTGCAACTCCTGCTTTTCATTTATTTGTTTATTTTTGCTCTCCATTTGGTTGGTAAATCTTTCTTCATCCCTTTGTTTTGAGTCTTTGTGTATTCTTGCATGTGAGATGGGTCTGGATGCAACATACTGATGGGTTTTGGCTGTGTCTTTTGATTGGGGGATTTAGTCAATTTAAATTTAGGATTACTGCCATTTGATGTTAGCTGGCTGTTTTGCCCATTAGTTGATGTAAATTGTTCATTATGTTGATACGCTTTACTTTTTGGTATATTTTTGGAAAGGCTAATACTGGTTGTTCCTGTCTATATGTGTAATGCTTCTTTCAGAAGTTCTTGTAAAGCAGGCCTGGTGGTGATGAAATCTCTGAGTACTTGCTTGTTCACAAAAGATTTTATTTTTCCTTCAGTTGTGAAGCTTAGTTTGGCTGGATATGAATTCTGGGTTGAAAGTTCTTTGTTTTAAGGATGTTGAATATTGGCCCCCACTCTCTTCTGGCTTGTAGGATTTCTGCTGAGACATCTGCTGTGAGTCTGATAGGCTTCCCTTTGTGGGTAACCTGACCTTTCTGGCTGTCCTTAGTATTTTCTCCTTCATTTCAACCCTGGTGAATCTAACAATTATGTGCCTTGGGGTTTCTCTTCTTCAGAAATATTTTTGTGGTGTTCTCTGTATTACCTGGAGTTGAATATTGTCCTGCCTTGCTAGGTTGAAAAAGTTTTTCTGAAAAATATCCTGAAGAGTATTTTCCAGCTTGGATTCATTCTCTTAGTTGCATTCAGGTACACCTATCAAACGTAGATTAGGTGTTTTCACATAGTCCCATATTTCTTGGAGACTTTGCTCATTCCTTTTTATCCTTTTTTCTCTATTCTTGTCTTCTCATTTTATTTCATTAAGTTAGTCTTTGACCTCTGATACCCTTTCTTCTGCTTGATTAATTTGGCTGTTAAAACTTGTGCATACTTTGCGGAGTTCTCGTGTTGTGTTTTTCAACTCCATTAATTCACTTATATTCCTCTCTATATTGTCTATTCTCGTTAGCATTTCGTCAAACCTTTTTTCAAAGTTCTTAGTTTCTTTGCATTGGTTTAGAACAAGTTATTTTAACTCCCAGAAGTTTCTTGTCATCCACCTTCTGAAACCTACTTCTGTTAATGGAACACAGTCATTCTCCATCAGGCCTTGTTCTGTTGCTGAAGAGGAACTGTGATCCCCTGTGGAGGGAGAGGCATTCTGATTTTGGGTATTCTCAGCCTTTTTAGGCTGGTTTCTTCCCTTCATTATAAATTTATCCACCTGTGGTCTTTGTATTTACCGACTTTCTAATTAGGTTTCTGAGTGGACGTCCAATTTATTGATTCCCAGTGCCCGAGTCTGAGCAACCCACTGCACCGGCTAAAACAGCAGCGTTAAGATTGATGGTGCTTTTCTGCCTGGGAATCTCCGGTCTGGTTTCCTTTTTGAGTCTGTTCTTCAATCAGCTGAATAGGCAACTCTGTTTTCCCAGAGCTCCAAACGTTGGCCAAAAGGGGGAACCAGTCGCGTTTACTCTGCACCAAGAACCACTGCACCGAGGCCCCAGCAAAACTGCCCTGCCAGCCACAAGAGTCGTGCTGGTTACCCATGCGGCTCCTCCTCTGGGAATCTCCTGATCTGTGAGCAGCAAAAATTCATCTGAAAGTGTGGCGTCCTCTTGTTCTCTGCACTTTCACTGGGAGCTACAATCCCGAGCTGCTAGCGATCAGCCATCTTGGGTGGATCAAGAGAACTGTACATAATTTTATAGAATCTGTTTTGAGAGTTCCCAATGGTGCAGGGCTCAGTGGCTGGCTGCTCATGTCCTTCCATTTTCATTAAATCGTTATGCTGGTCTGCTGTTGCTTTTACCTGGCTCTCTGTCTTCTCTGGTGCATGAATGTTGCTGGTCTCGAAGGTGGGAATTCTGCTTTCTCTGTCCTTTTTAGAGGACACTTGGGCAATGTTCAGTCTAAGGCTAATTTTTTTCCACTATTTAGACAAGACTCTTTTTTGTATTTGAATGTCCCGTGAGTTATGAAGTTTTCCAGTTTGGTGGTTGGACAAGCATTCTTCTCAGTCCTGTGTGAGTGGGGATCAGAGTTTTGAGTGATGAATCTTGTTCTACTTATAGAGCTCATGCTCACAATTTTTTAATAAAAAAAAACAGATAAATCAGAAATGTAAAGTATGTATTTTAGTGTCTTAATTTCAAATTTTTAACTTTAAAATTAGTGTTTGCACAGACATTCTATTTAGCAACTTGTTTTCTGTTCCTGCACATCTAGTAGTTTCTCCATAAGGCACAAAAACTAAATATAAACACAATATCAATTTTTGTAAATTACATTAAACTCTTTATTTCTATATGACTCCCATTTGTCTGTATTTATATTTTATTTTATACATTTTAAATAAAATCCATGACAGAGAAATGGGAAGAAATAAATATTCTAAGTTTTTTTCTAAATATTTGGATTTATTGAGTCCTTAGAATCAGTGCATAGGCTGTTATTAGAATTAAGTCCCATAATGTGTTATTACAGTGCTCTGTAAAATCTTCTTGAGCACATAGTATCTGCTTAATAAACATATTATTAGTATATGTGTCTATGTTGTTTTCTAAATACAGATTTTTAAGGCCCAGCACGGTGGTTCACACAAGTAATTCCAGTGCTTTAGGATGCTGAGATGGGCTGATCATTTGATGTCAAGAGTTTGAGACCATTCTGGCCAAGATATCTATTTGAAATACAAAGAAAAAAAATAGCCAGTCATGGTGGCACAGAACTGTAGTCCCAGCTACTTGGGAGGCTGAGGCAGGAGAATCACTTAAACTTCAAAAGCGGAAATTAAAGTAAGTGTAGATCTCACCACTGCACTCCAGCCTGGGTAACAGAACAATTTGTCTCAATAAATAAATAATTAAGTAAATGCAGACTTAGTCAGATGTTGCCACTTTCTGTTTTCCCTGTAAACTTTAAAAAGCCAGCAAAGATTATGATACTTTAAAATGGAGATTGGTTGTCTTTATTTGTGCCAGAAGTATTTGTGTTGTGATGAGAGTACAAAGCATAAGAGACTGTGCTGGGCCTGCTTTCTCTAACTAATGCTAATGATGAGCCTGGGGGAGCAATGTCAGCAATGGCAGGGGATTTAATTTAAACACTCATTTATTGGCTCTTTCGAAAACTGTAGAGTCACACTACATAGGATGGGACCAAAATTACCAAGTAATTGTAGCCTCATTAAAACTTGAGAGGTAGTGCTTACTTAAGTCATTATAAGTTAGGTTGCTAATTAGAATCACGTGACTCATTTGCAAAAATCTCTTTACTGGTGACCTTCCTGTCGTAGATTTTGATTAATGTTCTGGGGTGCTTTTTTTTTTTTTAAAAGATGGGGTTTCACCGTGTTGGTCAAGCTGGTCTTGAACTCCCAACCTCAGGTGATCACCCACCTTGGCCTCCAAAGTGCTTGGAATACAGGCGTGAGCCAACATGCCCGGCCCATGCTGTTTAAATTAAATGTCTCATGTGACTGTAAGTTGTGGCCAGAATCAATCAAATAGAGGGGGTTCAAGATACATTTGTAAGAGTTAAGTTTCACCTGTTTGCTAAAGGGTGGTTCTAGAGCCCCTTTTCATAGGGTTTCATAGGGGCAGAAATGTAGCTTATATTTTCTTTAGTGTAGGAGAAATTGTTGGCATGGGAGGGCAACTGAGAACAGGAGAGGAAAAACTTATATATTTTTTGCCTGTGGAGCAGCTTATTGTTCCTCAATCTCTTCTGTTACAAAGTAAAGAAATAGCTGTAGTATTTCTGTCTTGATTCTTGCACCCATGGGTGTGGTGGCAGCAGGTAAACATGTGGTGCTGACGCCATTCAAATCATATTCTCAAGATGCAGGTGTAATTTGTCCAGAGAATCTTATCTGAGAAGAAATCCTAGAGATGGAGAACAAGAAAAAAATGGCTTTCTTAATAATGAATTTTTTTTTAGATGGAGTTTTGCTCTTGTTGCCCAGGCTGGAGTGCAATGGCATGATCTTAGCTCACTGCTAACTCCACATCTAGAATTCAAGTGATTCTGCTGCCTCAGCCTCCCAAGCAACCAGGATTACAGGCTACCACATCTGGCTAGTTTTTACAGTTTTAGTGGAGACAGGGTTTCTCCATATTGGTTAGGCTGATCTGGAATTCTTCACCTCAGGTGATCCAGCCACCTCGGCCTCCCAAAGTTCTGGAATTACAGAGTGAGCGACCTGCCCAGCAATGATGAAATACTGAATACTTATTTTATTTTTAAATTCCAGGATACATGTGGAGAACGTGCAGGTTTATTACATAGGTTTGCATGGTGGCTTGCTGCACATATTGACCCGTCCTCTAGGTGCCCTCCCTTTTTCCCCACTTTACAACAGGCCCTGGTGTGTGTTTGTCTCCCTGTGTCTATGTGTTCTCATTGTTCAACTCCCACTTGTGAGTGAAAAGATGAGGTTTTTGGTTTTCTATTACTGTGTTAGTTTGCTGAGGATGATGACTGCAAGCTTAATCCATGTTCCTGCAAAGGACATAATCTTATTTCTTTTTATGGCTGCATAATATGCCCTGGTGTATATGTACCATATTTTATTATCCAGTATTTTTGATGGGCATTTGGGTTGGTTCCATTTCTTTGCTGTTGTAAATAGTGCTGCAATAAACTATTACATACATGTCCATGTGTCTTTTTAGTAGATGGTTTGTATTCCTTTGAGTGTATTCCCAGTAATGGGATTGCTGGGTAAAAACATGTTTCTGGTTCTAGGTCCTTGAGGAATTACCACACTGTGTTCCATGATGGTTGAACTAATGTACATTTCACCAGCAGTGTAAAAACATTCCTATTTTTCCACAGCTCACCAGTATTTATTACTTCTGATGTTTTAATAATCACCATTCTGACGGGTGTGAGATGATATCTCAGTATGGTTTTGATTGGTATTTGTCTAATGATCCGTGATATTGAGCTACTTCTCATATGATTGTTGGCTTGGTAAATGTCTTCTGAGAAGTGTCTGTTCATCTTTTCCCCACTTTTTGAGGAGATTATTTGTCTATTTCTTGTAAAATTTTAAAAGATTCTTCTGGATATCAGGCCTTTATCAGATGAAGACATTGCAAAAATTTTCTCCCATCGTGTAGGTTGCCTTTTTGCTCTGATGATGGCTTTTTCTGTGCAGGAGCTCTTTAGTTTAATTAGTTTGTCAATTTTGGCTTTTGTTGCAATTGCATTTGTGTTTTTGTCATGAAGTTCTTGCGGATGCCTATGTCCTAAATGGTATTTCTTAGGTTTACTTTTTCTTTTTTTTTTGAGACAGTTTTGCTCTTGTTGCCCAGGCTGGAATGTAATGACTAATGTTGGCTCATCACAACCTCTGCCTTTTGGGTTCAAACAATTCTCCTGCCTTAGCCTCTCAAATAATTGGGATTACAGGCATGTGCCACCACACACCCAGCTAATTTTTTGTATTTTTAGTAGGGACGGGTTTTCTCCATGTTGGTCAGGCTGGTTTCAAATTCCCAATCTCAGGTGATTTTTCCACTTTGGCCTCCTTAAGTGTTGAGATTACAGACATTAGCCACTGTGCTCGGCCTCCCAGGTTTTCTCCCAGAATTTTTATAATTTTGGGTTTTACATTTGAGTCTTTAATTCGTCTTGAGTAAATTTTTGTAGAAGATATAAGTGAGAGGTTCAGTTTTAATTTACTGCATATAGCTAGTGAGTTTCCTTGGGACTATTTATTGAATAGAGTATCCTTACTCAATTGCTTCTTTTTGTCAGGTTTGTTGAATATCAGATAGTTAGAGATGTGTGGTGTTATTTCTGAGATCTTTTTGTTTTATTGGTATGTGTTTTGTTTTTATACCAGTACCATGCTGTTTTGGTAACTGTAGCCTTGTAGTATAGCTTGAAGTCATGTAGGCTGATGCTTTCATCTTTGTTCTTCTTGCCTAGGATTGTCTTGGGTATACAGGCTCATTTTTAGTTTTATATAAAATTTAAAGTAGTTTCTTTCTCTAATTCTCTGAAGAATGTCAATGGTAAATTGATGGGAATAGCATCAAAGCCATAAATTACTTTGGGCAGTATGGCCATTTTCATTATGTTCATTCTTCCTTCTTCTTTTCTTTTCTTGAGATCGTATTGCTCAGGCTGGAGTGCAATGACATGATCTCAGCTCACCACAACCTCTGCCTCCTGGGTTCTAGCAGTTCAAGCAATTATTCTACCTCAGCCTGTCAAGTAGCTGGGATTATTGGCATGCACCACCATATCCAGCTAAATTTGTATTTTTAGTAGATTCAGGATTTCTCCATGTTGGTCAGGGTTTCTCCATGTTGGTCAAGCTGGTCTCAAACTCCTGACCTTAGGTGATCCACTCACCTCAGCCTCCAAAAATACTGGAATTACAGGCATGAGCCTCCATACCCGGCCTCATGTTCTTTCTGTCCATAAAAATGGAATGCTTTTCCATTTGATTGTGTGCTCTCTTAGTTGAGCAGTGGTATTTAGGTCTCTTTGAAGAGGTCCATCCCATTCCTTGTTAGCTGTAGTTCTAAGTATTTTATTCTTTTCATAGCAGTTGTAAAGTTTATGTGTGATTTGGCTCTCTAATTGTTGGGTTATAGGAATGCTTGTAAATTTTTTTTATTTTTAGTGGAGGTGGGGTTTCACCATGTTGGCCAGGATGGTCTTGATAGCTTGACGTTCTGATTTGCTTGCCTCAGCCTCCAAAAGTGCTCCGCTTAAGGGCATGAGCCCCCACTCCTGGTAAATCTATTGTTTCTTTATGATTAAAGTCACACTGTAAGTAACTTTTGAGGGGGCAGTGATGCTGTGTCCTTTGTGTACCTCAGCCCATCATAGAAATGTCATGCAGTTAATGTTAATAAACCACTTACTTAATAAGCTTTGTGACAGAATTTTTTCTCTGGAGTTAATTATTTTTCTTTTCATTATTAAGTTTCTTTATGCAGTTGATGTAAATAAACAATCACTTTTAATCTGGTAGATTGCCCTTTCTTAGGTTTTCTTTGCATTTATCTGTCTTTGAAAAACAAAAAATCTCATCTTTGTTTACAGGCTAGAAAAACTGAAAAACACACAGGCTTGTTCACTTATTGGATATTTGACAAAATAGTTTACTTTGGCCAAAAACATTGGCATTGGTGGTGAGCTTGTTAGAGATTCGGAAACTCAGATTGTTTTCCAGATTCTCTGAAAAAATAATCTGCATTAATATCTCCAGTTAATTGCACACATTAAAATTTCAGCAGTACTTTCTAACTCGGTATGTCTTTTCCATCTGAAAAATTTACACAGTGCATTCTTGATGATGTAAATGTAGCATTCAAAAATGTACATGTAAGTGTTTATGCCCTCAGTTTCCTACCTCATTAAACAGATAAGTACCATCTGTATGTTGATGTTGTAGACCTTATGCCATTTTCTTTTCTCACAATTAGAGAATACATTAGAGAATATTTCTGTGTTGAGAGTTATTGATTAGATATTGTCAGTCACTCTTGTCAGTAAGAAGCAGCAGTCTTTATTTTTGTTTTACCTTAAGTCAAATTAAAAATTCTTCTTATTTTCCATTTGTTTAATATGTATGTGTGCGTGTATTTTTTAAGGAGTGTTGACATTTAAGGATGTGGCCATAGAATTCTCTCGAAAAGAGTGGCAATGCCTGGACACTGCACAACGGAGTTTATATAGAAATGTGATGTTAGAGAATTATGGAAACCTGGTCTTCCTGGGTGAGCATAACTTCAATACACAATTTAATAATATATTCTATAAGTTTTCTTGCTTGCTTGCTTTCATTCGTTCATTTGTTCTTTTTTGTAGAATAAATATTAGGAATCTTTGCTTTCAGATCTGTTTAAAAAAAAAAAGCCAAGATTTGTCTGGTAAAAATGAATTTTAAGATGTTTAATTTTGATCTGAACTTTCCACATTCCTGAGCTGATCTGTGTCCTTCACTCTAAATTAGCATCAAGTTTAGAAATTTAGTGGCGTAACGTTCTGTTTATTACATCTTAAAATCTGATTGCCACTGCTTTTTAATTTAGTAGTACCAGGTAGTGAAATTACAAACTTACAAAATTAAAACATGTTTTAAAATATTTTGTTATAAATTAGTATTTTAGAATTATTTTACTAAAATACTTTATTATATTCTTTTTACTGAGCACACTGTTAAGTTGGTAATTGGAGAATATGTGCGAGATTCATGTAATTTTTAATAAAACAGGTATTGCTGCCTCTAAGCCAGACCTGATCACCTGTCTGGAGCAAGGAAAAGAACCTTGGAATGTGAAGAGACATGAGTTTGAAGCCAAACTCCCAGGTAGGTGAAAGTGAAAGTGAGTACAACAGACAACTCATGGAAACATCTTCTGTCTTATCTTATCATTTAAAATCTCTAAACATTTTACTTTTCCTTCAGTCACCTTCCTTTACCTTTAAAGTGACAACCAAAATCCTCTTCATGACACATAAGAGACTGTAAAATCTGATTGCTCTTTCATTGTTTTTGAAAATCAGATATGTGCATAATTTGTAGAAATTTTATATGTTAAACTGTTTTTAAGCTCTCTTTTTACATCATGTCTAAAATGTGTGAGGGTAGTGGTTTCTGTTCTATTATTGTTATTAGTTTTTTGAGATGAAGTTTTGACCTTGTCACCCAGGCCGCAGTGAAATGGTACAATCTCAGCTCACTACAACCTCCACCTTCTGGGTTCAAGCGATTCTGCTGCCTCAGGCTCCCAGATAGCTGAGATTACAGGTGCCCGCCACCATGCCAGGCTTACTTTTTTATTTTTAGTAGAGATAGGGTTTCTTAATGTTGGTAAGATTGGTCTTGGATTCCCAATTTTAGGTGATTCACCCCCCACCTCGGCCTCGCAAATTGCTGGGATTACACACGTGAGCTACTGAGCCCAGACTCTATTATTTTTGTATTGCTAATTTTTCTGCCTTTTTTTTTATAGCCTTGAAGTATAGTTTAAAATTATAAATTATGATGTTCTGATTTGTTGATTTCAAGATTGCTTTGACTATTCAACATTGATTGTAGTTCTAAGTGAATTTTAGAATTACATTTTCTATTACTGTAGAAAATATTGAAATTTTGATGGAGAGTTTATTAAATCTATAAATCATTATAGGTAATATGGCACTTTAACAATAGTCTTTTAACCAATAGACATAAAATGTTTTTACATTTATTTTTGTCAATTCAGTTTTTTAATTGATGTGTCTTTCATTTGAAAGATATTTAAGCTCCTTGGTTATATTTGTTCTTCCAAATGTATTATTTTAGTGCTATTGTAAGTAAGATTGCTTCCTTTCTCTATTGTATCAGATTGTTTAAAGTGTAGGAGCCACAAATTTATACTTGTACGTTAATTTCTATTTTGCTAATTAATTGAGTGTAATTATTACTTTAATTAGGTTTTAATGTAATGTTTATGTTTTTTATATAAGATAAAATGATCTACAAATAGCAACTTTTTAGTTATTTGTCTTTAATTTCAGTAACCTAAAATATTTTTTGACTAATTTTTATTGCACACACTTCCAATGCTATGTTCAGATAGTAGCATTGAGAATAGGCACAATATACTTTTGCATTGGTGTCTGTGAATTTGAAGGAGCAAAAACCTCTTCACCTTTCTATAAACTGGTTTCAGAAGGTAAAGACCTTTTGTTGAGCCCCAGGGTGATGGGATGCCCTATGGTGTTGTAGTTGAGAGGTTTTAGCGTGGTTACAAAGGCTGCTGGGTCTGCATTAGGGTCCATCTTTAGTTGGCTTGTTATAAGGGGACTGGGTAGTTCTAATTCCCATATGATTTTTGGGCAGACTGAATATTCTTCAGGACTTTGCTCTGTTTGGCAGACTGTAGTTCAGGTTTCTGCACTTGGGTCTTCATATTGGCGGCTTTATATTAAGATGTAGATGAGTTTGGCTTTCACTGAGTACCAGAGAGGATTTCCCAAAGTTACTGTGGGTTTCCACATAGGCAGAACTTGCCATGCACTGTGGCTCAGGGAGCTGAAACTGAGTCATGGAACTGCTTCATGGACCACAATGGGGGCCAATGTCTTCAGGCCTGACAGCATGGCTATAAACAGGTGTCTTCCTCCAGGCCTCTGGAAGGGTGGGATGTTTTCCAGACTGTGGCTGGGAGGAGTTTGGGATGATTATGGGGTAAGTTCAGAATTCTCAGTGGGACCAAGTTCAGTGGGACATTTTCTGCTCTATAGCCAAGAACAGGATTCCTAGAATCTGCCACCTGAATCAAAACCTGTCTTCTGAAAAGAATGTTCCTCTATCTTGGGTATTAGCAGAGTTGTACAACTTCCTCCCTGGATCTTAAAGCTCTTTTAATGGCACTTATTTTGGAGATGGGGTCTTTCTACATAACCCGGGCTGGTCTTGAAATCCTAGCCTGAAGCAGTTCTGTGAGTCAATGTACCATGTAGCTGTCATTACATGTTTGAGCCATGATTCCTGTGTCTCTCATAAAGGGATTTTTGTTAGGGATGGCTGATGAATTTTCTTGCTGTCAGAAAATAGGCAAATAGGGCATCTTTTATTTTCCCATCTTGGCGATGTCATTCTCCCTGTACATTTTTACTTTCTATCTTCTATTTTGATTTAGTTTGTAATTTCAGATTTAGACATTTATGACAATGTACTAGAAATTATATGTTATGCCTGAAGTGAATTAGATAATTAGTAGGCAGGTGAAAAGTAAATGTAGGCAGCTAAATAAAGATTATAAGATTTTCACTCATTTTTGTCAGCCTATATATAAAATAGAACATAAATCATTACCAAATATTTGTTTTATGTATCAGAGGCTCTGACAATATTCTGCAAAATCTATATATAGTTACTTTATTTAGCAATGTAAGGGTATTCTTTGTTTCTAAAATTAGATTACAGAAGTTTTATTTTGTGTAAGAATAGCATATGTTTAAAAGTTAAAAATATCTCACTTAAATGCTTATCAACAGTTTGGCATTCGAATCTTCTGTTTAGGATTACACTGCATTTTATATAAAACTTTACTGCATTACAGTGGATGCCAATGATTCAAAATATTCATCTTCAATGAGTTCATAGTTACAGTAAACTATTGTAGTTATCCACACAAATTCTTTCTTAACGCTTCATCACTGCTGCATACCAGAGTTTATGAGTGAACATTTATTGTTTTGCAGTTCCATATTAGCAAGTTTTCTCAGTGTAGATCTTTTAACATACTTCATTGTGTTTTTTGGTTTTGCAGTTTTAGACAATTTGCAATTCTGTGTATACCCATAAGTGGTTGTGTGGTTTAATTAGGAGATAAATTAACCATACGTCTATTACAATCTGATTATCTATGTGTGTATGGCTAATCTTGTATTTATGTTTTTCTAACTGATTTTTAATGATTGCTTCATCTTGTCTAAATGAATAAAATTTACCATCTTAAATCTGTTTAAGTACTTTCCATGGCCAGTGATGGTGGTGGCTTACAATCCCCCAATTTTGGGAGGCCATAGCAGGAAGACTGTGTGAGTTCAAAAGCTTGAGAACAGCTTGAGAGACATATGGAGACCTCATCTCTATAAAACATTTTAAAAGTTAGCCAGACATAGTAGTACGGTCCCATCTCCTTAAGAGATTAAGGAGGGAGGGTTATTTGAACCTGAAAGTATGAGGCTGCAATGAGCCATAACTGTGTCATGTGCTCCAGCTCAGGTGATAGAGTAAGACCCTGACTCAAAAACAGTGTCCATTTCAGGCATGGTAAGTATATTTACTTTGTTTTATAAAAAATTTCTGGAAATTTTGCCATACACATTAAACAACTACCAGTTTTTCCTATTTCTTGGTACTTTTCAAACACCATTCTGTTTTCTCTTTCTAAGAGTAGCTGCTTTGTATATCTAATAACATCTCTGTTTGTGGCTGGCTCATTTTATTTTGCATAATGTCATCAAGATTTACCTTTATAGTTAGAATACTTTCTGATGTTTTGCAAACTGAGTAAATATTTTTTGTAGTTTTATATTTTATTTTATTTATTCTTTTTTGAGACAGAGTTTCACTCTTGTTACCCAGGCTGGAGTGCAATGGCATGATCTTGGCTCACCGAAACCTCCGCCTCCTGGGTTCAGGCCATTCTCCTGCCTCAGTCAGCCTCATGAGTAGCTGGGATTACAGGCATGCGCCACCATGCCCAGCCAATTTTTTGTATTTTTAGTAGAGACGGGGTTTCACCATGTTGACCAGGATGGCCTTGATTTCTTGACCTCGTGATCCGCCCGCCTCAGCCTCCCAAAGTGGTGGGATTACAGGCTTGAGCCACCGCGCCTGGCCTGTAGTTTTATATATTAAATTATATCTATTGAACTATGTGGTGACAAAAATTTGCATTGCTTTTACCTATTGGCTTTTAGTAACAATGGTAAGATAATTATGGGTATGCAAATGACACTTCTTTATATTACCATGTATGTGAGAGTTTTTATATATGTGCTGCATCCTGTTGCATTTATTCATATTATTATTATTATTATTCTTTGAGATGCAGTCTTACTCTGTCACCGAGGCAGGAGTGCAATGGCGGGCTCTCGGTTCACCACAATTTCCACCTCCTGGGTTCAAGCAATTCTCCTGCCTCAACCTTCTGAGTAGCTAAAATTACAAGCATCTGCCACCATGCCCGGCTAATTTGTGTATTTTTAGTAGGAAACTATACACTGTTGGTTAGGCTTGTCTTGAACTGCTGACCACCCTCCTTGCCTCCCAAAGTGCTGGGATTATAGGCGTGAGCCACCACAACTGGCCCATTCTATTTTATTAGTCTACCTTTATACTCATATCAAATTGTTTTAATTTTCTAGCTTTCTAATGTGTTTTAAAATAAAAAATTCTATTCCCCTCAACATTGTTTGTTTGATTGTTTTTTATATATATTTTTGGGTACTTTATTGTCTGTAGGGATTCTTTTTTTTTAATTTTTTTATTGCATTTTAGGTTTTAGGGTACATGTGCAGAACATGCAAGATAGTTGCATAGGTACAAACATGGCAGTGTGTTTTGCTGCCTTCCTTCCCTTAACCCACATTTGGCATTTCTCCCCAGGCTATCCCTCCCCAGCTCCCCGACTCCCGCTGTCCTTCCCCTATTTTCCCCAATAGACCCCAGTGTGTAGTACTCCCTTCCCTGTGTCCATGTGTTCTCATTTTTCATCACCCGCCTATGAGTGAGAATATGCGATATTTCATTTTCTGTTCTTGTGTCAGTTTGCTGAGATTGATGTTCTCCAGACTCATTCATGTCCC